TTTATTTGTTATGTTGATAATACATAGATTACCTGTACTAGTAAATACAGTTTTAACTCCCATGAACATGCTGACACGTTTTGTCAGCCAGGTACCACGAGAGGTAAAGAATTTTACTTCTGCTTCTCATGTCTGGAGATATTGAACAAAATCCTGGACCAAGCGAGTCTGAATCTGATTTATGCACAGTTTCCACGTGTTCCTCTAATTTTACTTCTTTATTTGATGATGCCAAACATACATTTGTACACCTCAATGTACAAAGTTTAAAACAAAAATTGGATATCTTATTCAGTGAATTAAATAAAATAGATATTCTTTCATTTACAGAAACATGGCTAAGTCCCGATGATATAAACTCAGATTTAGACTTGCCTGGTTTTACCTCACCATGCTGTTATTGTAGACCTAATAGACAGGGAGGAGGAGTGTCTGTATATGTTTCTAATGATATTCCCTCCAAACGCCGATCAGACCTTGAATTATTTTCAGTGGAGTGTGTTTGGTTACAACTAAATATATCTGGTAGGCAAATTTTATATGGGACATTTTATAGGCCACCTAACGAACCAATTTTATCTTGGGACAACATAGCTCATACTATAGAACTTGCATTTAACACAGGAATATCAAATATAATCATAACTGGCGACCTAAAAGCAAATCTCCTAACTAACAATCACCACTCACACCACCTAAATAACCTACTAACCACATTTAATTTCACACAAAGCGTTGCCAGCCCTACCTTCTTCACTGAGTCTTCTTCCTCTCTCTTAGATATAGTCTGTGCTAGTGACCCTTCTATAATAAACCGTTGTAGTGTTGGTGAAAATACCATTGTCCTATCTATGGCAGTATTAATATTTCCAAACCTCCTAAATCTTGTTTTAAACGTAAAATTTGGCTTTATGACCTGGGTAATTATGACTTGTACAGAGATAAACTTTCCAAAATTGACTGGGACGGAATTCTAGTTGGTAATGACATCGACGACAAAACAGACAAATTTACTATTTTACTCAAGATCGCAGGTGAGTGTATCCCCAAGAAAAAATATAACTGTAAGAATCAACGATCCTGCATGGATGAATAACACTATCAGAAAGTTAATTAGAACAAGGAAATACTTACATCGCAAAGCTAAAAAATCTCAAAATGGTAATGACTGGGGAAATTTCAGGAAAATTCGAAATAATTGTGTAAATGCTATTCGTAACTCCAAAAGAAAATATTTTAACAATCTTTGTGACAAACTTAAAAATAATGATAATATAAGTGCTAAGGAATGGTGGAAATCATTTTATGTCTAATACTTGTAGTAAAAGCAACATACCTCCGATCTTGATTAACAATGACATAACGCAGGACGACCAAGAAAAGGCCAATGCCTTCAACACTTACTTTACCTCACAAGCTACTATTGATAACACAGGTGTTGACCCCCCTCATCTATATAAACCCCATAATCATTTACTTCCTGACATTATCATATCTCGAAAAGACGTTCTTGATGTTATACAGCATCTTGACTGTAAAAAAGCTGTTGGGCCAGATCTTATAAATTCTCGATTAATCAAAGAAGCAGCTGATATTCTTAGTTATCCTCTCCTTTCACTGTTCAACTGCTCTCTTGCTGATTGTATGTTCCCGTCTCTATGGAAGAGGGCTAATGTCACACCTGTGTTCAAAAAAGACGACGCATCCGTACTAACCAACTATCGTCCAATTTCTTTATTATCTATTATTGGCAAAATGATAGAAAGATGCGTATACAAATATGTTTATAATTATTTAATTGATAAGTCTCTATTGTCTCCCTATCAGTCTGGCTTTAGATCCGGTGATTCCACTGTGAACCAACTTATATCTATTTCTAATGATATATATTCTGCTTTAGATAAAGGTAAAGAAATAAGAATGGTTTTCTGCGATATTAGCAAAGCTTTCGACCGAGTGTGGCATAGAGGTCTTCTTTCTAAACTCGAAAACTTTGGAATTACAGGTAATCTACTGGCTTGGTTCACAAATTATTTGCATAATCGTTCTCAACGAGTTGTTATTAACGGTAAAATGTCTGATTTAGCATCTATTACTGACGGGGTACCACAGGGGTCATCTTAGGTTCATTATTGTTTTTGATTTTTATTAATGACATTGTCGAAAATATAAATTGTTTTGTAAAATTATTTGCTGACGATACGTCTCTCTACGTTATAGTGGATTTACCGGATTTAAGTGCTAACATTTTGAATGATAACCTAAAAAAGGTTCATGATTGGTCCAAAAGTTGGCTTGTCAATTTCAACCCTAACAAAACTGTAACAATGACTGTAAGTAAGAAAAATAATAAACTAATTCATCCCTCCTTGTCTATGAATAACATCCTATTAACAGAAGTCTCCTGTCATAAGCACCTTGGCGTCTTTTTATCTGATAATGGAGGGTGGGCTGACCATGTGCATTCTATAATCAGCAAAGCATCGAAGAAACTTGGTATTCTTAGGAAATTCAAATTCAGTATTGACAGAATGACTCTACAAAAAATGTATTTTACTTTCCTTCGACCTTAGAGTATGGTGATGTAATATGGGACAATTTAACGATTGCAAAAAGTCAGTTATTAGAAAATATACAGCTTGAAGCGGCTAGAATTGTAACTGGTGCTACTAAGGTAACCAGTCACGACCGAATTTACCAAGAATCTGGCTGGGACCCTCTTTCAGTTCGAAGAAGTAATCACAAGATCGTACAATTTCATAAGATTGTCCATGGTCAGTCCCCCTCCTATCTCACCAACACACTTCCTGCTCGTCATTCTGATCTCCACTCTCACAATACTAGAAACGCAAACAACTTCTGTCAAATAAACTGTAGAACAAAGCTTTACAAAGATTCTTTCTTCCCCTCCTCTATTGACCTGTGGAATGCACTTCCCGATGATATAAAGCCAAACCCTTCTCTTACTAACCTCAAAAAGTTCTTAAACGCTGGTAGTCATCCTGTTCCACCTTATTATTACTACTGCAGAAGTAGATTCGCCCAAATCCACCACGCGCGATTAAGGATGAACTGCAGCTCTCTGCACAGCCATTTATATATACGTAACTTAATTGATAGTCCCATGTGTACTTGTAATCTATCTGCCGAAACAACCGAGCATTTCCTCCTCTTCTGTCCAAAATATCAACTATTAAGAGATCAATGCTTCAGAAACCTTCCTCCGGAGTACGACACGAATCTCCTCCTGTATGGAAATCCCGTTATGCCAGTTAGATATAACGAAAATATTTTTGACTGTGTCCAATTTTTTATCTACCAGTCGAAACGGTTTTAAGTTCTCATCTTGAGTTTTATCAAATGTCTATAAGTACGCACATAGTAATACCTAACTGCCAGTGCACTTGTTCGGCATGGCATTTAAATGTAGATTACGTATGTAAAATTTTATATGCATATTGTCATAGTTCTGTGTAATGATATTTGTAATATGTGAGATTACAGTAGACTGTGGTACAGTACTGATTCTCCAATTACTCACGGGTCGTTTTTGTAAAATTGTGTTTACTTACCACTGATGTATTATAGACTTACTTGACATGTACGGTCAACCATGTGCGTCCAAATTTAAGTTTGATTTCAGCTCGGTTCCCCTCCATAATGCAGCATATTTGCATTGCTTCATTCTTTAACTCCTTCAACTTTTCTGTCAACTCCTTTGCACCCCCCTCCCCCCTTTCTTCCCAAATATCTTCATTTCCCTAATTATGTACCAATATGCTCAATATATAATGTATAATATTAGTCAGTGCCGTCCGATCGATGCTTCGTAAATTCAGGAGACGGATTAATATAAGTACTTTGTACTTGTTTTCGAATCCTTATGTATACTGTTTGTATTGCTGAAATGTTATACAGTTTAAAATAAATTAAAGTTTAAACTAAAATTCCCACAAGATTTTCAGGCACTTTAAGCCAAAATCCTTGCTGTGCATGGAGCTTGAGAGGAGAGTGAAAATATGACAAATATTGAGTTTATTGGATGGCAATGGAACATAACAGCTCTAGTGATTATGGTTTTTCATAAAACTTTTATCAGGGAAATATGTAGTGCATATTGTAAAAAAGTTATATTTTCTTAAAAAGTCACAACTATGTCGTCAGCTTGTCCATAAATTTATGTAAACTACTCGAGAGAGGTGAAATAGCATTTTGCTCTCTTTTTTTAAAATATTAAATAAATTCAGTGAGCCACTTAATCCAATATATAAAATTTCTTTCACGGAAAAAGAGGGAAATTCTTGAGGAAAAAATACAATATCATTTTTTTTTTATTATTTATTATGGAAAATGAAATACATTGTATCCAATACCAACGTTAAAAAACGTATTTATAATTAAAAGTGATGGTCGAAAAAACTATTGCGAAATAAACATGCTATAGATCATATACAAAGTATACATTGTACAATTATGCACTTCTATGAATGGATACACCAGAATTGTCTGTCTGAAGAGGGTATTTTTCCAAGGGCAAAGCCCGAAGGGATTTTTTCTCCAATTTCGGTGAAATATCTAAGTTATATAATGTCACGTGGTGACATTTAATTCAATCAAATCATTCTAAATAAAAGTTAGGTATAGTAAATCATAGGATATCAGGATTTTCAAAACATATGAAATCAAACCGTAAATTAGCAATCTGTAATATGCAAAACAAATCGGAAAATTTAACGATTGAGTGTGGCGTACGTTTTATCTAATGAAAAACAAATCGCCGATGTAAGGAAATCTATAGAACTAAATAAAATCATTCAAAATGTGAGATTTAAAAAAAAATAAGATAGATGTATGTAGAAAATTTGAGATTTGTTAGATTTTTGTTCTCGATCCAGGTTTCCTGCCCGGGCCGGTTACACAAATTCACCATCACCATATCAAAACGAAAGTAATTTTCCATAAATAGCCACAAGATATTCGGAACACCTCTGGGATTAAAAATGGCGGGTAAAGAAAATAATCTAGACAACTTTATAGTGAAATTGTTTGAAATTGAAGCTATAAAGTTTGGAACTTTTCTGCTCAAATCTGGTATAGAGTCTCCAGTTTATTTTGACCTGCGCGTGATTGTCTCATTCCCAGATGTCATGGTAAATATATATGTGTAATGGGCCACGTGATTTACTTCCAGCATGTCAACACGTGGGACACTAATCCTTTACGGTTAAGATGGGCGTGTAATACAGAGGGATAATAAACTGCCTTTATCTCTTTGTAAAGATATAGCGAAGAAATTCAAGATGTCTTGCGTTGCTGGTTTTAAAGACCGTTTTCCTAAAAAAAATACACTACTAATCTCGAATTAGAAAGTTTAATAATTTTAGAATTTATTGTGACGAATATTTTTTTTATCAACATTTGGTATTTGTGAAACAAAATGCATGTTTAAGCGATTTACGACTAAACTGCCACTCTATATTTCCCGAAATATGGAGATTGACACGTGTAGTTTTTGTGATACGTTAATTTTATTTGCCAATGTTACTTTAGTTACAAAAATGAGGTTTACGTCTCACAGGCCTGCTTAGTCCATGATGCACAGGCAGAGGAATAGATACAGAGAAGTGGTTAATGCTAGAGAAGTCACCACTTGGCCTAGTTGTTTGTCCTTCTGTATTAAATGTCCCAGCTTAAGATCATTTTTTTTTTTTAAATTTTCCAAATTTTACATAATACAAATAATAAAATTAACAAGACAAGACGCACATACCAACACTCACACATATGACTTATCATCATCATCATCATCATCATCATCAAAACACAATAATGATTATGTCATCATTATGCATTGCAATCATCGATTATCACCATTGCCAATCAGTATCATCTTACAATTATCATCATCATCATCATAATAATCATCATCATCATCATCATCATCATCATCATCATCATGTACATCTGATTAAACTTTATAAGAAGGTCAATTACATAAAAATACCTCAGATCATGACAACCTTTACTATTTATTGAAAAATATCAAACATTGATATATGCAGATATTTTCAAAATTCAGTTTTCAGGAGTATCAACTAAATCATCTCTTTCAAAGTTCAGTGAAATTACATGTAGACATGTTTTAAGGGTGTTAAAACACACAAACAGTGTTCAAGCATCCCAATGTTCCTCCAACCTCCAGTAAGTGTTGTCACTGAGTATTTAAATTAAAACTTCAAACCTATGAGTATGGTTTATTAACAGCAACAATACAATTGATCAGGATTGAAGGAGGAGGGATAGAGGGTTGTATGAATTGGTTGCTTTTATATATTTATTATAACATGGACCTATGTTGTTTGTTAATGAAATGAAAATTTATGAACCTGCCAATCCTATTTTGCTTTCAGGCGATCATGTTTTGACAAATTCTCGACAAAGCTTTTCTAGGCTTTTATTCATCAGGTTTTTTAGGCCCAATTTACCTGAAATGTGAACAAGTTTCATTATCAGCATGAATTAAAATGGTCAGGTTGATATAAAGTCCGACAGGTGATGGAATGCTTGAATTGCAGTAAGGAAACATTATCTTTTGGTTGCAATGTCAATTACCTGCTGTTGCAGAAACAAGTCGCTGAACTGATGTGGGAAGCCATAAAAAGAAGTGGATGCCAGTTCAAATCAATATGTGGAGTACCTTATACTGCTTTGCCAATAGCTACAGTAAGTAGGTTGGATATGTTATTTAGTTGATACAGATCAAACCTGGGCCCGTATTCATGAACCCGTTCTCATTCTCAAGCATAGATTTTGTGCTCAAGCAAACCTTTTTATAATTAACCTAAATAATATAAAATAATACAAATGTTAAATTTAAACTTTGAATATAGCTCTGGCTTGAAGTCCTTTCAAAATTTTTTATGAAACTTCAGCAAAATCAGTCTTATTTATTAATCTATTACTTAAACAAGACATAAGGCTTGAGCACAAAATTCATGCTTGAGCATGACAACGGTTTCATGAATACGGGCCCAGAATCTTTCCCAGGTTGGATTCTAACTGTTAGATAGAAAAGTTTGTTTTTAAAATTTAACCGAATATTGTCTTTCTTATTACACTCCACTAAGTGACAACAGAAGATTATGACATGGAATCAAAACTTAAGAAGTTTGTTTTGTTGTTTGATGCATTTCATATGTAAATGATAAACATAATCATAATTACTTTATATCTTTATAGTGCATTTGTGTTCAAAACAACTACCCAATGTTGATTCGACGTAAAGAAGCCAAAGACTATGGAACGCGGCGTATGATTGAGGGTCGTTTTGACGATGGGGATGTGTGCCTTGTTGTAGAAGATGTGGTCACTAGTGGTAGCTCTGTTCGTGAGACAGCTGAAGTACATACATTACCTACATGTAATATATAAAACCAGGCCCTGTGAAATATGAAATTGTACCTATTATATATTATTCAGGAACTACATACAGAGGCAGCCTGTTAGTGAAGTGATGCAGTCTTGAATTTACTGTTTTTTCCATAGAAAATATGATGACTATAGCAATATGTTATAGGTATTAGAACAATGTTGAGGTGTGATTTATATATGACTTTTGTACAGACCGTTTTGAAAAATTTCAGAAAATTTTACACAGAACAAGAAAAAATGCCATACTTGTCTATTCTAAGGCCTGATTATGCATGTACCTTCATGATTGACTTTTAAAATATTTGTTTGCTTCTCGCTTTATTTTAAAATATGTAAATTATCTTTCACATATGAAGTTATTTCTATTTCACGAGATGTATTATACGACAGTCATTCATCGGTCAAGTATAAACATAAATCTATGTTTATATGTGAAAGGCTTACTGGACCTGGGATGGAAACCATTTAGCTACAGTTAATTTCCGCAAATTTTAATCACCTGCGAAATACATGAAAATCAGTCACAGCAAATATAAGTTGATTAACAGTATACTCCGATGATCATTAAGGTTTCTTCTAATCTTGTCCATATAGTCCCTCCCCCGTTTTAAAGGAAGTGTCCTTTTCAGCATTTTAATTGTCCGAAAATTTCTTTCAGGTTTAGCTCATCTCTTTAAAATTATGTATGCTTTAATTCAACATTAGAACATATAGCACTGTTTTCTGTCCTGACACTGTAACACATGGTTCCCTTTGTTGCATTAACTTCTGGATATGACTTTGGCACGGGACAGGAGTATCTGTTTTGCCTCACAATACTTTCATTGCTTGTTCTCTTATGCTTGCGAAATTTATTTTCAGTCGCTGCAAAAAGAAAAGATCAAGGTAACAGATGCCATCGTACTGTTAGATAGAGAACAAGGAGGGAAGGTGGCCCTGGAGAGGGCGGGAATTAAATTATACAGGTAAAATCAAGATCAGTATGTGATTATTAGTAGACAGCTGATGAACGGTTGGCCTTTAAAGAGAGGCAAGTATATTATAAATTAAAAACGATGTAATTTTGGACCATTGATGTAAGGTTCCCTTTTCTAAAAATTAACATCTCTCTACAAGTGTATTTTTAGGTCACCTGCGTCAAATTTCAAGATGACCTTTTGCGATTGTCTTTTGTCCTGCATTGGTAAACTTTTAAACATTTTTTACTTCTTTTCAAAAACTCCTTAACCGATTGCAGTGAAATTTTGCAGAAGCCTTCCCTGGTCTAAGATGAACCTAAAAAGTGAACTATAAGGCCCCTTACATCCAGGGGCTGAGGGGTGGGGTCAAAGGTGGTAAAAAATCTTTATCTCCACACCCATAAATAGTAGGATCAAATCCTCTTGATGCTAAACAAGAATTGTGAATTTCATGGCGGCAGGGTCTCACATTTCCCCATGGGGCAGGGGTAAAGTTTACAATAGTTTATACAGGAAGGAACATATTTTTGAGCATATCTTGTTTGATTTCCATTGGAAATATTTCAAACTTTGATGGCATTTTAGATTAGGTGAGGACTTGATGGTATGCACATATTGATCCTGACTGATCCCCAGGATGGGTGGGGCCAGAAAATGTCTGTTTGACTCATATTTCAAAAATCTTCTTTTCAACACCCAGATATGACAGAATCAAGTACTCTTTGTGATTGGAAGGGTCTTAAGCTACTTTCCCAAAATTAAGAATTTCCTGACCCAAGGGTCTCATTTCTCCCTGGGGAGGCGGTGAAATTTGCTCTAATTTTTATAGAAAAATAGCATTTTCCAGCATAACATTTATTTACTAGCGGAGACAACTTGTTGAGAATTATCAGTATGAGATGACAGTTTTGATGGTATACATATATTGAAACTGGGTTTACTGTTATCAGTGTTTTTGTTTGCAATAATCAACAATTTAACACACACATATAATACATTTAGGATTGGAAAACAGGCTTATAGCTTATTGATTCTATAGTTAGTGAGATCATTTAGAGAGTTTGTTGTAAATTGACTTAAAGTGAGCCTTTAATTTAACTTGTAGGTATTCTGTACCAACTTTGGAGACAGGTAGTTTTCATAAAAATGTTAATAAGAAGGTGATGTTTAAATTATGTTTTGAATGCTTTTTTTCAGTGTTATTACCTTGTCCCAAGTATTGTCCACTCTTCATCGATTAAATAGACTGGACAGTAGTATAGTTGACAAGACCACCCAATTTATACAGGACAACCGGTTTGATGGGCCTGCAGTCATCAAGAAAGCAAACAGCATGTCATCAGCTGAACAGGTAAAGCTTAAAGTTGTTTCGTCATCACTTGACCGTCTTAGTTAACTCACCATGAGCAGGACTAATATGCATATATGCCGTGGCATATCTTCTGGTATCAACTTTCCACTTTTAACAACTTCTTCTTCATAACCAAAAGGGTATTGATATTGGGTCAATAGCACGCTGGGATGAATGGCTATCAAAAATGTTCAAATGAATCACCTTGACCCACTTTTAAGGTTGCAATGGTCAACAGTCTTGAAATATAACAATTTTTTCTCAGTAACAATAGACGCAGGTTACTGCTAATTATTAGGCCTGTAGAATTCTGGGCTGAAGGGCCACAAAGTTTGTTCTAATGAATGATCTTAACCCACTAAAAATGTAATATGTTCAAATGCATTGGAATTTTCAAACAACTTCTTCACAATTACCAAAAGGCCTCGGTCCATGATATTATGTTAGTTGCATACTGAGGTAAAGGGTACCAAGTTATTTTTGTCACATGCAGCATGCTTTTGTATGATAAAGAAGGGTATGATGAACATTAAAGTTAACAAAACTTAACTTATTTTCAGTTGTCTTAGTGTATGCTACAGAACAGGTACAGGCCCTTTAGACCACTTGTTTGTGAAGTTTACATGAAATAGTTCAGATTATATCGTTTGCATTACATGTGTAATGTTGTTCAAGTGATTTTACTTTACTAACAAGATTGATTTTATGTCTCAACAAAAAAGTCAGAGTTTTGATAGAACTCAAGTGATCATTAAGGCCTTCTGTATAAGAGACACCTGTTAGTGGTATATAGATGATACATTAAATTGGGTGGTCAGTTGGCGCAGTGGTAAGGCACTCAACTTTTCACTTAGTCGTCCGGGGTTTGATTCCTGGAAAGGACGTGAAAAGGTAAAGGGTCACCTGCCCGACCACATGAGTTTTCCCTGGGTTTTCTGGTTTCCTCGCTATCAGCTGCAGTGTCGTTGTCACTATCAGTCATGTTTGCTACCATTTCTGTTGAATTTATGATGTCACAAGTAGAAGCGCCTTGATTCTGCAAAAATGACGATTACGTTGATTAGGTCTGAGCGGACAGGTGAAAATCAACAACTCTGAGCTTATTAACTTGACACTGGGGCGACGGATTTTGACGGGGTTTTCGGTATTATTATTTTTACGGCATTATATCTAAATATAAAATTACACTCAGGGTACACTTAAAGACCCCTGCGCTTCCATCCGGCCAACAAGAGTGATTAGTATAAGTTGAAATAACTTGTTTTGCAATATTTATAAGATAAATAAAACTTATATTTATATTGAAATGACATATATTTTAAATGTGAAAGTTTACTGGTGTGTGAGTGTTTTATTGAAGGGTATAGATAACAGATTGTACCTTTGTGTTACAGGTGATGAGTCATAAGGAGCGATCAGTCAAATGCTGCCATCCATTGGTTCGATCTCTCTACACTATCATGGCTGACAAAGAAACTAATCTGTGTGTGTCTATAGATTGTACTTGTAGCCAGGAACTTCTACAGGTAAGGGACCAGTGGTTAGAAACTTCTACTGGTCAGTACCTAATAGTGGTCAGAAACCTCTACTGGTCAGAAACTAATAGTGGTGAAAAACTTCTACTGGTCAGTAACTAATAGTGGTGAAAAACTTCTACTGGTCAGTAACTATTAGTGGTCAAAAACTTCTACTGGTCAGTAACTAATAGTGGTCAGAAACTTTTACTGGTCAGTAACTAATAGTGGTCAGAAACTTCTACTGGTCAGTAACTAATAGTGGTCAGAAACTTCTACTGGTCAGTGACTATTAGTGGTCAAAAACTTCTACTGGTCAGTAACTAATAGTGGTCAGAAACTTCTACTGGTCAGTAACCATTAGTGGTCAAAAACCTCTACAGGTCAGTAACTAATAGTGGTCAGAAACTTCTACAGGTAAGGGACCAGTGGTCAGAAACTTCTACTGGTCAGAAACTAATAGTGGTCAAAAACTTCAACTGGTCAGTAACTAATAGTGGTCAGAAACTTCTTCTGGTCAGTAATTATTAGTGGTCAAAAACTTCTACTGGTCAGTAACTAATAGTGGTCAGAAACTTTTACTGGTCAGTAACTAATAGTGATCAGAAACTTCTACTGGTCAGTAACTAATAGTGGTCAGAAACTTCTACTGGTCAGTGACTATTAGTGGTCAAAAACTTCTACTGGTCAGTAACTAATAGTGGTCAGAAACTTCTACTGGTCAGTAACCATTAGTGGTCAAAAACCTCTACAGGTCAGTAACTAATAGTGGTCAGAAACTTCTACAGGTAAGGGACCAGTGGTCAGAAACTTCTACTGGTCAGAAACTAATAGTGGTCAAAAACTTCAACTGGTCAGTAACTAATAGTGGTCAGAAACTTCTACAGGTAAGGGACCAGTGGTCAGAAACTTCTACTGGTCAGAAACTAATAGTGGTCAAAAACTTCTACTGGTCAGTAACTATTAGTGGTCACAAACTTCTACTGGTCAGTAACTGATAGTGGTCAGAAACTTCTACTGGTCAGTAACTAATAGTGGTCAAAAACTTCTACTGGTCAGTAACTATTAATGGTCAAAAACTTCTACTGGACAGTACCTAATAGTGGTCAAAAACTTCTATTGGTCAGTAACTAATAGTGGTCAAAAACTTCTACTGGTAAGTAGCTAATAGTGGTCAGAAACTTCTACTGGTCAGTAACTAATAGTGGTCAGAAACTTCTACTGGTCAGTAACTAATAGTGGTCAAAAACTTCTATTGGTCAGTAACTAATAGTGGTCAAAAACTTCTACTGGTCAGTAACTAATAGTGATCACAAACTTTTCAGGAAAGGCAATTGAGGCCACATAAATTTTTGTAGTTCGTCAGAAATTACACTTTTTTGATGTCAAGACAAATTTAAACTAAAGATGAAAATTTGCCCACGTCTCTCTTCTCTCTCAAAAAAAGATTAATTTTTGAAGAATCCTGATTTTAAGTTCATGAGAGTATTGATTTTAACTTACTGCTTGCTTCAGCATGTGTTCCAGGAATATTAGGAGTGTTTACAACAAATTCCCAGAGATTACATAACATTTACAGGGCCACCAGCTAGGTATTTTATGTTTTCAAGAAACTTGACTGCCACCAGTTATTGATGACAAGGAAATTATTTGATATTTTCTTCCTTTTCACGTTGGCTGGGAACAAGACAACATGTTTGGCACATCTCTTAATAATTCAATGTTTTCAATAAAGCAGCGAGTTGTTTGAAACATGTGGCCATTGTAAAAGCAGCGATTTGAGACCATATTCTGATGAAAATTTTCTAAAAACGGCATTTTATCAACGATAGATCATCAAACCTTGTTCATTTGATGATGATATTTTCTAAAAATATAGGATCTCTACTTTATAAAACTTGTTTTACTAAAACTTTTTGGGAAATATTTCTAAACATTGGCAAATAACACTCTTACCAGCCTCTGCCCTTGGGGATGGGAGTGGTTGGGCTCAATAGGGGAAATGGAGCACATTTTATAAAATTCTACTTTTCAATAGTTTTAAAATATATTTCTTTAAAATTGTTGAATTGTTTAAAACTTTTATTGCCATTTTGAAATGGTCACAGAGTTTACGGATCTCCCACTGATACCATTACACATACTATCATTATTATGTACATATAGTTTGAATATGGTTAATTTGTATTGTTAACAGATGGTGGAGAAGGTGGGACCACATGTATGCCTTGTTAAGACACACATAGATATGTTGGAGGACTTTTCAACTGAAGTCACAGATCAACTTCAGAGGCTGGCAGACAAACACAACTTTCTGATATTTGAAGATAGGTAATTGTTAGCTTTCCTGGTCTGAAGGACCGGTGAGTGTATGTCATGGCTTGGCATCCAGCATCCAGCGTCGATCCGTCGTCCATAATTGGCCTGTCAACTTTTTTTTTTGCTAGGGATAATAGATTTGAATGTAAATGATCATAAATAGAATTATTGTAAAATTACAACTAATGAAGGGTATAGTATTTGTATCATGCCATGTTTTCTTCGTTTCAATATTATCAAGTTACTTTTTAAAGAATTATTTATATTAGAAATAACAAAATGATTTTAATATACTTGGAAGATGGATATCCCAAGGTGGCTGTAGAGGTGATTTAGAGCTATTTTAATGAAGTTTGTTACATCTGTTGGTAGTAAGATCCTTGCAGTAAACTAATAGTACAGATCTTTTGTTAATCAAAGAATTTGGTATCTCACATGGACAATAAAGGCACCAATAAGAATTAAGATGACTGTTAAGCCTAAGGTGGGAATTAGTCACTGTGCTTCGTCTGTTGTTGCTTGTGAAAATAAGTGTTAGGACCAATGTTTGTAACTATTGAAATACTTAAGTTGAATATTTTCTTTCTTAAGACATGCGGTTTTTTGTTTGGGATATAGATCATTATTTTTCAAATATCTAAAATAAATTATAGAAAGATGAAAGGTAGGTATAGCTTCTATGAGAACTAGCAGAAATCATGTCATTCAGCTGACTTGACAGAGTTATCGCCCTTTGTTCATATTGCCTTGTGTTTGGAGTAGATGTAATGATCCTTTATAAGGTAACATAGATATAGTACTATGCCATCAAAATGCGTTATAATTTTCCTTCAGGAAGTTTGCTGACATTGGAAAGACTGTGGGCACTCAGTATCAGGGTGGCATGTACAAAATTGCCAGCTGGGCACATATCACGAACGCTCATCCAATACCAGGACCAGGAATTGTCAGTGCTCTAGCAGATGTGAGTTATCATCTTTCATCCATTTTGTCACATAGTACTTGGATGTACATAGATATGTTACCATTAAGAAGGATACCAGGAAATAAAAAAAACAATAAGTTGGAATTGAAATGTTGAATCCAATTATGATATATATGTTAACCATTTCAATAGATCCCAAGATGTTCACATTTTTTTTATATATATTGTTAATCAAAGATGAAGATTTTGGTAAAATGATGATTATTTTTTCGTTGCTGATGACCTTTAATTGCAATTAGGCAAAAAGAATTTGGATAGACATTGAAAAGAGACTAAAATGAGGTAATAATATGGCATGTTCAATACAGGTGGGTAAGCCATTGGGACGAGGATGTTTGATGGTAGCAGAAATGAGCTCCGCAGGAAACCTCGCAACAAGGGAGTATACCAAAGGTATTATAAAGTTATTGGAAAGGCTTCAGTTCTACAGTCTATATCTTGCCTGGTCTGAAAGCATCCAACATTCTTCTGGTGTTTAATAAAACTTGTTACTTGTTATGAACAACTGAACAGATTTTTACCAAATTTGGTCTGAAGCATCCTTGGGGAAAGGAATTTTTTAGAAATTTGGGATTTTGGCCCCCAGAGGCCTGAGAGATGGGGCCCAAAATGGAAAATTTTTCAAGTTTGCAAATCCTACTCCTCTTGTGGGAATGAATGGATATTTCCCAAATTTAATCAGCAGTATTTGTGGGTGAATGGAAATCGATCTTGAATATACCGGGGTATGTTAGATCATGGGGTATGTTAGATCACGACACTTTTGGGCTGAGGGGCTGTGCACATAAGGGGAAATAGAGTAAACTATTTTAAATCCTGTTCCTCTTGTAAGAGTGAATGGATATTGCCCAAAGTTGGTGTGAAGCAATTTTGTGTGAAAGGGAATAAATCTTGTATAAAGGTTAGGTATCAGCCCATTGGGGGAAAGGGCGGTGCCTAGTATAGGGAAATAGAGTAAATTCTTTAAAATCTTATGTAAGAAAAATTGGGTTTCCCCAAAATTTGGTCAGAAGAATTGCAGCCACCATTTGATTTTGCTGTCCTCATTTTTAAGTTAACACCGGTCATAAAATCTAGATATCATCAAATCATTGATTTATGATGGTTTTGTTTTCTTTTATAGATGTTGTAAAGATGGCAGAGGCCAATAAGGACTTCGTGATTGGTTATATATGTCAGTCTCGGCTGTCAGCTGACATCGATCTCATCCACATGACGCCAGGTACTCCTCACAATATTTCATCTGATCCAAAGAGTCATCATGTTTCATCCTTATTTTTCCATTCAAACAACTTCTTCTCAGTAGCCAATGGAAGAAAATTTATAGTTTTACCTTTAATTTATATTTGTTTTAATTGACACAGGGGTCAAGATTCAGATGGGAGGGGACTCCCTGGGACAACAATATGTGACCCCAGAGATGGCTGTCATAGAGAGGGGAGCTGATGTGATCATCGTTGGACGGGGTATAACAGCAGCATCAAATCCTGCAGAGGCAACCAGGCAGTATAAACAAGCCGGATACCAGGCCTATCTACGCACCCTAAACCGATGATCACATGACTGAGTGGGACTACCTTGAATCTCAAATGATCTAAACACAAAAGGCTGGTGATTGGAACCGAATGATTTGCTAATGACTTACTGGAATGTATGAATAAGGATGAAAGGAGGTTCAGAATTTTAGACTTGTGGTTTATAAATGGTTGTTGGGGCCATCTAAAGCATTTCAGACATTAGTGTAATACTTTATAATATGGAATTGACACTGATGTATCCAGTGGAGAACTAACCGTTTAGTTCTGAATTTATTTTGTTATAAATACATGTTAATCTGACATTGAAATAAATTCTAAACAGATCACTTGCTTATTGTATTCAGGTGAAGTAAAAAATGTAATCTGTTACAACCAGAGTGAGAGAAATATTAAATGCACTAATTTAATTTTTAGGTCATCTGACTTGGGGGGGGGTCTGAATGTTTTGATCATGTTTTGTCGGTTGTTCTATTGTCTCTGTCCTTAAACATTTCCTGTAGAAAATTTTGTGGCAGTCAGAGGAGTTGTTTTAATGGCGTAGAGCTTGTATCTAGCGATAGAAGTCAGACGCTGTATGTGACTGCGTCTTGGTCTAACGTCAGAAGAGTTCATGCCAACACATCTGCAACATGAACATACATTGTATTTTCAACAGATCAAGGGAATCCAAAAGGATAAAATGTAATTCCAAATGCATATTTTGTGACGTTTCTTTTGCCACTCACAAATTATGCCATGAATAATGTAAATAAATTTCTGTGTTGGGTGCAGCATTTCGGCATAGGTGAAGCAAATTAGTGTAAAGAATTATCGTCTGTCTGCATGGAACAGAGAGAATGGAAAGTATGTAAAATGGCAGTAACGATAAAGTTGTAATATATCGGCACCACTTTTACATTTACTATCACTTATAAAATCTTACATCATTCAAGAAACAAAGAAGAAATTACAAACGGTTATATGAAGCAATCAATTCATAATATACATTTAACTACTAAAACATAGACTTCTCAAACTCACCTGTCAGTAGGGAAATTGCAAATGATGTTTTCAACATATTAACACATTGGATGAATAATATATACAGCATATGTTACAGAACTGATTGTATTTGAATTTTTATATTGCTTATTATTCTTTCCAAGAAATCTTAGTTTTTGTAACAAAATATTTGAGAGCTACAAGGGCTGATTGATAAGTTGGGAGTCTCATATTTTAAGGTTTGCCTTTTGGCAGACATATTGCATTATTTTTCAATGAAGTCCCCTTCAGTATCTATACAATCTGTCAGGCAAAGTTAAAGGGCCTCAATGCCACTTTTAAAGAAGTCCTTTTCTTTACTGTTCTTGAAAGTCCTCCGTTGCAAATTGCGATTTTGGAAATAGATGAAAGTCTGATGGAGTGAGATCAGGCAAATAAGATGGATGCTTAATCAAATCAAAGCAACAATCGTTAATGGCAACCATTGCACGCCTGGTTTGCTTCTAATCAACAGTCAGAATTCTTTGTATCCAAAGGGCTGAGACCTTTCTCATTGCAAGATCTTCGAAAGAAGGGAATGTACTCTTTCTGGCTGTTTCTGATTGGTTAAGGAAACCAGGTCACATAAACTCACAAATAAAATGGACCAACTTGAAAGACGTTCAAAATCAATGTATTTCTTTCTCTTTTTAAGCTTGAAATACTTAAAAATGACAAAAAAAAGAGAGCGTTTAAATGAGTTAACACCAGAGTTGAAAAATTAAAAACCAGGTTATTATCTGAATAATTCAAATGTCAACCAAAGCACTTTTGTACCTTTCCCTTTGTTCTACTCTATCATTTGCATAGTAAAACTTTTAACACTACAGTAGCATTTGGACTAAGACTGGACAGAAAACATGTACAGGTCTGTAATGGTTATTAAATAATATCACATTAAATCATTATAGTTTAGTTTACTGTCAAGTAAAATGCTATTCAAATAAAAATAACGCTCAAAATTGTCTTGTACATTTTAATGATGATTGAAATCGAAGTTTCAAGATATCTCTAATGGATAAGGATGTAATCTGTTGTCAGTACAGACAACAGATTTAAACCATACATGAATGCCCTTGTGTCTCAAATTTGTTTGACATGATAAAAGTAAATGGAAACCTACACTTGTTCACAAGCATCGCCTCTTGTTAAAGTTTGTGTTTGTACATTCTGCAGTGCATATGTAGGTTACAGACACTATACATAAATAAAACTATGTACCTTTCATTTAAATGCTGCATAAATGGCAGTGTTATACGGTGTAATACTGGAAGATGGTGCTCAGTTTGATGATGTGAATGTCTCTGGTGTAGATATGGTCTAATAAACTACTAAATAAAGGGTAGATGACTTGCTATGCTGCTGTGTTTTTGATGGATGACAATGAATTTGGTTAATGTCACAAATGAAGTTTCAAACTGCAACCTGTACAGCCAATTTCTATTTATAGGGAAGCTGACCTAGTTTTACTGAAGGTCAAAACATGAACTTGTACAAAACTCCATTCTGTTCACCTAAGCACACTTCAGACTGAATTTGATAAAAATCTGTTCTGTTGTTCATGAGTAGTTGCAATTTAGAAGAAAATGTGACAAGATGCCAGAGAGATGTCAGATACCATGGTATCCCTGTAGCACACGTGACCCAAAGGGCAAGGTGGACCGGATAGCCTGGATTCACTTTTTAGACAGGGTCATGTTTTGGTATACACAAGATAAACTGGATTCAATATTCACTAAAATGTTACAATACATGATAACATCAACACAATTAAATGAAACATATTCTTAAAAGTCATTCTGTATTCTGTAAAGTGACAGTGACAAATGAATGATGAAATATTGCAGAAAATACTCATGTCTTGAGTATTTTTTTATGCTTGATGTATTTAACTAACACCAGTTAACAGTTACCAGCTGAATTCTTTTTATGTCAAAAGAACTCTGAAGTATTATCACTTCCACAAACTGATCCGAAAGACGTCATAATTTCTCTTTGTAACACACGCTGCTAACAATGTTTCCAGATCAGTGTTTTATTACAGGAATCTGTTGTCAGACAGTCGCATCTATTACATCTCGCTGGAATTTACATATTCAGTACTCTGCTTTGCTTGAATGTCTTCAGTATTGGAAACTCCGCTTTGTCTGAATGTCTTCAAGAATCTGTTTGAGCTCTTCATCTTCAAACCTCCCTTCTAAGCTGTAACATAAATGGTCACTGTAACAGTTAGGGTTGAAATAGTAAACAGTAGTTATATGTATTATAAACTGAAAACAAGAGGCCTGTGTATTTACAGCAAAGATAAAGACCTTTACATGAAAGAGGTCAAATAGGCCTAAATAGCACAACTGCCCTACAGCTTACAAAGAAGACATCCTCTGATCATAAATACATTTTCTACAAACTTGAAATCCTATTCCTTATACATGCTACTACACAAATGCAAGGACTCCAGATCTATTGCCTTTATCAAATTATGATAAAAGAACCAACATCAGCAGCCTAGACCTTTGTATTATTGAGAAGTTAGCTATTTTATAAGACAAGAGGACTAGCTGCCTTGACCGTCACCTGAGGCAAGTGATATTGAATATAAAGGTTATAGGGACTGTGTACCTTTTAAGTGTCATGAAGAAGAAAATGCAACACTGATGATAGTAACACTTTTGGGGTCAGCCTGGGTCAATATATGCCAGTATGTCAGTATATATTCTTACCAAGTTATTTCCTGTGGAAAATAATTTCATGCTCAAAAATGCAATTTTCTTATAAAGACTGAAGTAAATTTCAACCTTCAAACCTTAAGACCCTTTTGTTCATGACAAGTATTTGTTTCTCCCATATCTTGATGTTTAGAAATATATTTTTGAAATTTAACTCAATTTGACCCATTTTGGTCCTGCTAATCAGTCCCTTGGGGTCAACAAGGATCAATATGTGTAGACCATCACGCATTCAACCTAGTAATTCTAACCAGGTTTGAAATATTTCCAATGGAAATTTAAAAAAAAAATAAGCTAAAAAATCTACTAAGGTAAACCCCCCCCCCGCCCACCTCCAAAGGGGGAAACATGAGACCTCAGGGTCATGAAATTTACAGTTGTGTTAAAGCACCTTTTAGACTCTTTCATCCATAAAGAGCATTTGATTCTACCATATTTGGGTATTGGGAAATATTTTTGAAAATTCAATCAATAGAGTGTAGGCACTTTCTGTATGATACCAAGTCTGCACTTTGAATATTGTTTTGGCTATTCAGGTTGATAATACATAAATTTGTAACATTAACTGCAAGACACACATGTTATCTATCACAAGCAAAACAAGAGACATATAGGCCTGCCCCGCCCCTACCAAATTTTAACAAAATACTGTCATTTCTACAGTAGAAGGATTCCAGAAAGTTTTTTTTATCCCTTTTTTAATCAATTTTTTTTGTAAAGAAATATTACTGTAGACCAAATATGGACAAATCTGATAAACTCTTATCTTCAGTTACATTACATTCTTCAAAAGTTAGCATTGTTTACCTAAAAAGCACATGAATATAAATTGGAATTTGTTCAATTAATGTGTATCTCATTGTGTTTCTTTCATAGCATCCTTCACTAAAAAGATTTTCCAATAAAAGCTATTGTTATCCTGTACTTAGATTAAACTTTTGTGAATATAAAAGTTTCCTGTGAATATGTATAAAATGTCTTGCTGTAAGATTCATGTAAATGCTGTCAGCCAGTTTGTTTTATGATCAGTTTAATGGGCACAATTAAGGACCCAAGGGAACCTACATATGAAATCTGAGAAACATTCATCCAATACTTCATAGGAAACTGCGTTAACAATGTTTCATAGTCAAAAATCCAAGATGGTCACCTATCAACTATCCTGCATTTTCTATCAATCCTAAAACAAAATATGAAGAACTAGGGTTAAAGACAACCCCACATATGAAACTTGAGAATAATCCGCCCAGTGCTTCTCCAGAAACAGTGTTAATGATAATTGTTTGGGGAATGATGGATGACAAAGAGTTAAGATTTGATTAGACTACCATCTGTTGATGGTTGGCTAAAGCCAGTGTGAGCAGTGAACAAATGATTGATTACCTTGGAATTAAGGATTTGGCCTCATCAGCATTTTCTGGACAGAGGTTAGCAAGGGCAGCAAGCTCAAACTTGTGTAACTTCTTCTGCATCAGCAGACTGAAATACAGAATTTCATTTTTTACTTCAACAAGAAGTCTGTGGGACTTTACAGTCACCTAAGCTGATTTATTTGATTTTTTTTTAACAAATAAAGAGCACAAATATTCAAATTGTTATTAAACAAACAAAATGGCCTTATACAATATATAGCATACAAATTAAAAACTTGAGAGAGTACTTTACCATATTTGACATCTGTGACCTTGAAAGAAGGTCAGCGTCATTCATTTGATCAAATTAGGTAGCCTATAACCCGGCATGTTACTAGTACAATAAAATTACTCCAGGCCTCTTAATTAGTGAAAAGTCATTTAAAATATCTTAACTGATTTGACCATTGTTAGCCATTCAATCTAATAAGCTACAGGCCCAAGCAACATTATCCTGGGTCTCTTGTTTATTGAGAAGTCATTTAAAGATAATAACATATTTGACTTCAAAGTATTATTACCCTGAGCCTCTTGGTAATTGAAAAGAAGTTGTTTTAATATATTTATACATTTGACCCTTGTGATGTTAAAAGGTCATTCATCACAGAATGTTCCTGGCACAATATTATCACCCTTGGCCTTTTTACAATTCAGAAGTTGTTTGAAGATATAAACACATCTGACTTCTGTGAATTTGAAAGTGGGTCAAGGAAATTTGATTGAAGAAAGGTGATAGCCCCACATCCCAGTATGTCACTTGTCAAATATTACTTTAATCCCCTAATTGAGAAAAAGTTGTTTTAAAGATTTAATTCTATTTGATCCCTGTTATCTTGAAAGTGGGTCGTAGTCATTCATTTGAAGAGCTTTGATAGCCCTCCATCCCAGCATATTAAAGGCCAAGTATCAGTATCTTGTGCAATTTAGTTATTGCAAAGAAATTGTGTAAAGATCTCAATACATTTGATCCTTGTGAAGTTGAAAGTGGGTCAAAGGCATTCATATGAAGAAACTAGATATCCCTTCATCTCGGCATACTAAAGGCCCAATATCAGCATCCTGTGCCTTTGGTTATTAAGATGAAGCGAAGTCACTTAAATAGTTTAGCACATTTGATACCTGTGACCTTGAAAGAGGGTCAAGGTAATCATTTGAAGAGAATTGGTAGCTCTCCACCCAAGCATGCTACAGGTCCAATATCAGTGCTCTGTGCCTTTTTATTATCGAGAAGAAGTCAAAAATATAATTTGTATACGATGGATGATGGACAAAAGGCAATGACGAAAGGTCACATGAGACCTAAAAAGAACTGTCTATTATCAGTTTACATAGACACTATAGAATCAATTCGTCAAGTTTTGACAAATTTTCTCCTGAAATTTCTGCTTCTATCATGAAATAAATGAGTGCATAAGTGTACAGGTGAAGTTCTTGTCAAAGATAAAAAAATTCTGATTTGACGTTTTCATTTACAAATTTTCCATCTTTAAAAGTATTTGGATTTCAAAATTTGATTCCTGGAAGACCTGCATATTTAAGTGGAAGTTTTTTAAAGTCAGAGTTTGGAACATGCATAGAAATGGATTGTGTAACAAAACTTGTAAAAATAAGAAAGCAATAATGATACAATTACAAGAAAAATAATATCAAGTGTACGTGTGTGTCATTTTATTTTCACCAACTGTATCACACCTTTCACCTACCTTCTGACGGCAGAAATGGTTTCCCTGTTTTTGAATTTGGAGAACCTACTGGTGTAATTAAGAGTCTTCATGAACACCTCCGACAATTCCTGTTCTTCCTCAGCACTCTCGTTCTGTTGTTTCCTGAAAAGATACAAAATCAATTCCAGTGACACTAATAAATGAGAGGGAAAAATGTCAATCAAAATTCTTTCAGCTTTGATTATGCCCATTCATTCAGTTCAAAAAAAGCTTTTCTTTGATACAAGCATGAAACTAAAAAATATTCCTATCAAAGCTTATGGTTAGTTTCTTAGATAGGATTAAAAAACAAGGTAACAAATAAATGTTTTAATTTGATAATTTAATGGCAGATTATCTATAAATGAATCACTATGCATAACAGCTGGCGAGACACGATTTTAAAAAGATATGTAGTAAACTAAGCAAATGCTTAGCAAGACAAAATTAAGCGAATTTTTTTTATACAGAAGGGAAATAACTCTTTGAAAAGGGGGGAAAATGCAAAAACACACAAGAAGCATATCTCCATATTGTACCGGGGTCATTACTGAGATTTGAATTTTCTTATTACTGTATAGTACTGTACCAAAATTTTTCATATGAATTACTTTATTATAAGTATACAAACCTATGATCTAGCAACATCTGTACTTCTGAGATCAGCAGTGTTTCTGCATTCTCAAACTCTGTAATCAAAAATGTAATTTATATCAGTCATTATCTTATATTGTAGACAGTTGTAGTTGTACCTTTTCAAATAATCTGTTCACATTGCCTGAAGGGCTAAATGAGCTTGCCAACCTTTCGGTATAACTCAAAGAAGTCTGGTAGATTTTAGCTAAATTTTGCATGAATTATCACTAATTTGTAAATTCAAACTTGGTGACCACTTTCCTGGATTTTTAGGACCTGAAAATAAATATTTCAGCTGGTTTCATGATCTAATAAAAAAAAATCTGACTATTTAGGTGAAAAATGAAGTCCAGAGACACCTTCTTTTTTAATTACTTAAAGGCTAAACATGTTGATAAATATATATTTCTTTTTTTTTTAAATGCAAGAAATAATTCATCACATGTAAACCTATCAAATTTTTATAGATGATGACTATCTGTTGCCAAATTGGAAATTTTGAATGCATTTTCCATTGAATCAATGAAATTTGTGCAAGGTTTACAAATCACAGAAGCAATTTAAAGTTCCAAATCCAGAGATTGCCACTGTCATTTGTATTGGATATTGAACGCAGAACTAAATTTTACAACAGATTACAAATGGGTTGTTTTGCTACAGTAAAAACCTGCATGTAAAAAGTGTATTTTTCGTGAAAATAAAAGGTCGAAAGTGGGGAGTGCATACATGACATAGCTACAGGAATTTCCATTTGTTTTTTCATAGAAAGAAAATCTATGAGTAACAACAAAAGATAAAATCATCATTGTATATGTTAATGAAAACTTTGTGCAGTGACACTGGACTTTTCTTTCTGTGTTGTTTTCATGAATGAAAACATGTTTTTAAATGGGATCATATTTTTTGCTTATGTGAGGTAAGTTAGAATCATCAATGGGTATAGCCTTGATGATTTTTTTCAATGTAGTTCAGATATGCAAAACGGGTCAGTTTCAATAGTTCAGATCTATATATTTGAAGTTAGGTCCTTGTATTGGGTTTGATTTTGATGTGTACCGTTGATTAAATGTTTGCATGGTTTCAATAGCTAGTGGATTGGTTGTGTTTTCCAAGCTAGATTGGATTCAAATGTGATGAATTTATGAGGGATGTTTTTAGTGACTGTAGTATTTAGTGTTATTTTAAATGCGTTATACAAGTCATCTGCAGTATTGTCAGTAAGTTGGTCTATTTTATTATTTAATGTTGCGATGTCCTTTCTGATTTGTCCCAGTTTGTTTTGTTGTAAAGAGACATGTTTCTAGGTTGTCTGCAATTTTTTTTTCTCAGTCTGACGTCCATTTGTGCTTATGCAATGTGTTGAATAGATTTTCTGTCTGTTTTTCTGATGGTGGAAGGTTCGTTTCTGAGTCTAAGATAAAGTATAGGGTCTGGACATGTGGTAATGTCGTTCATTTGTATCTTCTGTGGTGTCTAATATTTGTTGGTGAAGATTTGGGTTTTGCTTTAAAAGGAATCATGGTGATGTTTTGTTAGTAGATTTGTAATAAGTTGAAAATCTCTACTTATGAAAGTTATTGTATTGTGGATATCTGATTCGAGTGAGTGCATAATGTAGAAGATTTCATGTCTTTTGTTGGAGATGAACTGGACTGATGGTGGTTATGCATATTGGTTTTGTGGCTTTTCGAGGTTTACCCCTACCAATCCAATGTGATAGCATGTAAAAGGTAGTCCGCAGTTAAGACCCCCACTATACGTGTAGTCACACATATTGATGAAAATTTGCCAGTTATAAACCAACGAGCAATCTAAACCGGCCTTCACACAACAAAGACTAATACAATATATAGTAATACATGAGTATAGAATGCTAAGATAGCGGACGCTTGTAAAATAGCATAACACGCCTATACATCACAGATAATAATTTATAAGAAAATGGTGATATCCATAGAACATATCATACATAGTAAAAAATATAAATAACCTTTAGGAAACAGCAGTTCCGATGCGTCTTCATCTGGCTGTTCGTTAGGAAGTGGAGCCGCCGCCATGTTGTTTTGAAATAAAATCTGTTTAAATATCGAAACGAATGAAAACTGGAAATCCGGATTCCCCCATTTTCCGCACTGACACTATACAAAATGGAACACTTCCCAGAGACTTGACGAAGAACTTTTATTTTGTACTACAAATGAATATTAACTATTCTAAACAAAAATGAAGGTATATTTTTAATTATGAATAATCCTGGGAAATAGCGCAATGCTACAACACAAATATTCTATGATGTGTTTGCACAATGAAAAGTATTGCTGAAATTAATATTTTGATAGATAAGTGGCTGAGGTTAATAAGAAAGATGATGATTTTTTTATAAAACGAAGACTGAAATATTAAAGATTATGTTGGTCTATTTAAACGACAGAATAGAGGCGTTCCATTTTAGATATCCCTACCTGTTAATACCCTTAGCTGAACCTTGCATGTCTTACTACGTTCTAAACCCATTTATAAACATGCACGCTGATGACATGAAACCAAAGCATGAAGTCGTCGGAAATCTGAAGGAATCTGTTTGTGAAAAAAACAGGATTCAAACACTCGGTTACCTTAACATCGCAGTCTCACTATCACCGTCTCAACATCAAATCACCATTAGGCCTACAACGTCAGCATCACCTCAATGTAACCCTGGTAAAATACTAGCCGCAATATACCATTCGGCTAGAGAGAACTTCTCTTTAGCTCGATTGGTTGAGCGTCAGACTAGTAGGCCAGGGGTCCCGGGTTCGATTTCTAGCGGAGGCATTGAGATGAAAAATGACCTCTGTTACATCAACATCACAAAGTCAACATCACCTCAACGTCACCATCACCTCAACATCACAAAGTCAACATCACCTCGACATCACAAAGTCAACATCACCTCAACATAACTGTCTCAGTATCACCTCACCAGTACAACGTCAGTATTACGTCAACATCACAGTTTCATCATCACCGTCTCAACATCACCTCAACATTACTGTCTCAGCATCACCTCACCAGTACAACGTCAGTATTACGTCAACATCACATTCACAGCATCATGATCATCACAAAGTCAGCATCACCTCAACATCACAAAGTCAACATCACCTCAACATCACAAAGTCAACATCACCTCAACTTTATAAAGTCAGCATCACCTTTACTAATTTCCAAGTGATACTTTTTGGCGTTAATGCTTATATACAATAATTCTTTACATTAATAAGCTTAATGTTAAAATCACACTAAACGATGAAAGATATCTAACTACTGGAAATTTTGAAACATTAAGTAAAATAGACGAAACAAGGGCTAGTATGAGGAAGTTTACACCGTATACTCTTGTAAATATTTAGGAGAAAAAGAAATGTATTAAGGAGGGGTACTTAATCATAAGAACCAGACATGTTAATCTCGAAATTCTCGAAACAGAACAAGTTTACATGGAAAACGAAACCAACGAGCACTTAATATATCTCATACAACACAAAGAAATATGATATACCCTCCGATTTCCCACTCCTATAAATTGTACATGCCGTTTTGTGAGGGTGATGTGATCCTGTGAGATACTACTTTATTACGATATCTCACCTTCGCAAAGGTTCGCTGTCATGATTTTATAAAAAAAATATTATTTAAGTAGTACTACAGACTTCTGAAAATACTAGCAACATCATCTAAATATTCTTCAACTCATGTACAATGTACGTAACGTACCATAGTTATTCATTCGTGTGAGTAAAAAAATTGTCAATAAATTCTCTTTTATATTATTACACGAAATGCTTGTAAACCAATTTGAAAATCAAATTAAATTGAAAAAATATATTGCTTCACAAATGACAAAATTGACCTTGAATTAATTCGATAAATCAAATAATATGAAAACAAATTTCTTTCGTGAGTCTATACTATATAGTAATCAATAAACCCCGTTCGGAACATCTAGTCTACATTATTTTGTAGTTCATTCGGAACTCTTTCTTCACACTGACGTATAAAATTATCAATGGATCCTGGGCAAGTTCAATCTCGTTTCCGACGAGTCAGCTATTCGTGTTCGTTCTGATGTGACGTCAGCAGGTCGGAGTGTATATATAAGCTCGCCAATACACACAGCTTCACATAACAACTATCGCCACCGTGCAGAGTTCCCCATATACATACTAGCTTCAGGTAAGGTTCTATATCTACTGACATCGCATATTCATATTGAAATAACTTATATAAAACAGTGTTTTTATAGATACTGTGTACAAGTATTTGTATCATATAAAAACATATATAAATGTATAAAACATACATAAGAATAACATTACGTTCAGAAACAGTAATTTCAAATTGCTGAGGGAAAGTATTTTTTTTAAAGTTTTGTATTCTATGAACTCAATTTTAAAACTCAACTCTGAAAAGGCTCGTTGTCAGTGCTCGTTTACTTCGCATGTGTAATATATAAAAGCATGATTATAAAACGCACAATGTGTATTAAAATGTAAAATCCTACTTAATAGTTAAGAAAGAAGTATGAATACCCTTAACTTACTTTTTGCTAACCATCTTTCAATTAAAAAGGTAGAAAACAATAGTTCTAAAATTTATGATAAATGTATTTCTTTTAATCAAAGTTAACAATTACATCAATAATTCCAGAACAAAAGATGGCTCTACCACCTGGCGGACTACAGGAAATATGTTTCTCATTTGATACCACTGGGTCAATGTACAGCTGCTTGGATGAGGTCCGTGGTCGTATCCAGGACATGATCCAACGTCTCCAGGCCGACATCCCCGGCATCAGGATAGCCGTCTTCGCTCATGGCGACTATTGTGACAAAAACAACTACATCACGAAACACATCGACTTCTCTACCGACGTGTCGACTTTGTGTAAGTGGGTTAATGACGTAGGAAGAACGGGTGGCGGCGACGCAGACGAGTGCTATGAACTCGTTCTGCACGAGGTCAAAAGTTTGAGCTGGACGCCAGGATCACAGAGAGCGTTAGTGATGATGGGGGACAATAACCCACATAAACCAAGTTATCCACAGAACACAATGAAATTGAACTGGAGGACGGAAGCAGAAGATCTATCGAAAATGGTGAGTATATTTATGATCATGCACCTAAAAATGAGGACTGTCAAAGAAACATCTTAGTGTTACTTCCTTATTTGATTCAGTAGTTCACACATGTATAAGTTTGATTCATTGCCTCTAAGAATGTTTCCTTTTGATTTTTCAGGGTGTCCGAATTTATTCCGTGCAGTGTCAGAATTACACAGGAGCAGACCACTTCTATCAGACCATAGCAAAGGTGACCGGAGGTCACTACCTAAAACTTGCCCAGTTCACCAATATCTTCGATTTTATCATGTCGATCTGCTACAGAGAAAAAGGCTCTGAATTTTTACAGGTGTGTAATCATATCAACCTTTTTTTTTTTTACACTTTTTAAAAATGACAAGTATAAAATATTTTCAATAAAACATTTCGTTGGTAAATTTCAAATCTGATGTGATTCATTTATTTTGAAGCTTGAAAAAGATATAAGTGATCGAAACTCGACTAGAAATGTATTCTCCATTTCAGGATTACGAAAAGGAAGTGAGGGCAAGAGAAGCTATCACGGGAATTAACAAAGATTTGGACTCGTTATTTGGAGTTCTTCGGCGGACTGACAGTAGCCATGACGTCACAGAGACGGATACAACTGTAACAAAACCTCCACCTCCCATCAAAATGCCTTCCCTCAAAAAAGTCTCGTCTGTAACAAGTATGAAGAAAAAGTTAGGAAAACCATCGTTGGGATCAAAGCCTACCCGAACAGGAAAGCCTCGCACAGTAGGCAAGGTACATAATTAAATGATTATTTAAACATACCCATGTTACGAATAGACGAGTTATTGATTTAATTTATGTGCACTGCAAACGGTGTTATCGGGGTATCATTATTAATTTCAGACTTCGTGAAATTAAATTATCCATAATATATATTAGTGATATAATCACATGTAACAATCTATTGTTTTTTTTCTTTTTAGAAAACAGTTTCACCAAAACTGAGAAGGGAAAATGTGTCTGAATCCAACTTTTCTCTGTCGGGCCGAAAATGGAGCGCGTGGCAAACCTGTCTGTCATGTGATAAATCTGATAGTGAACTTTGGGATAAAAGAAATGGCACTCATCTTGGTTACAGAAGGAAAGAAATATTTGATGGGAAACTGACAAGGCCTTCCATTTACGAGTTTTCTGTTCAAACAGCTCCTGGCCACAAAAGACATATAATGTATTCCAAAATTTGTCATGGACTAACTTCTCCACATAAATGGGAACATCGTCTTCTCGGACAGAAAGATATTAGAAGTCAGATTGAGGAAATTCTCTCGAAAGGCTGCTGCGTTGCTGTAAGGAGACTGAAACTTGTCAACCGAAAACCAACCAAAGCCAACACATTGAACTCCTTACGTCGTTACGACTACGCCTGGCGACGCCACGGCAGTCTGAGAACAGGTCATAGACCTGTAGTTAAAGGAACGGTCCAGATCTCTAATGACGCATTCTGATTTGCACTGAATTGGCGGACACAATGGCTACTATCAAAATATTGTGTAAATGACAATTGATATGATCAGTACATAAAAGTAATGATAACTGCTGCTATTATTTTCACAAGTGTACAGCATTATCTTTAATCATGTCATGGTTTCATGGTCTGTAAAAATCGCGCCCTGCAATGTTTAGGAAGAAATTCCAGAGCGATGTTGTCATGTACATTTGTATTATCATAGCATTTGTTTAATGTCTTGTTGTGTTTTTATTATAAATATGTTTGAATAAAAATGTTTTAATGCGAATATGGTAGTTTTTTTCTGTGTCAAGAATGTAATACAATATTTGAAGGATAACAACTCGGATGAATGTAGACTCAACGGAAAACAAATTACAGTGGGCTACCACGTGTCGGGCAGGTTCTTTATGTCATAAACAATACACAAACAATATATAGAAACTGTTTTAATCTGATAAAGTCAAAACAGATATCTAAATTGATAAATGTCTTTTGTCATTCAGGATCTTCTTGTAAATCTCAAATGGAATTTGGAGTTATGAGAAGTGTTCTCGTCTGAGTTGAATCAGCCAGTCCTCCAGAAATTTGGCCACGTTATCTGGATTATCCTGGGACGTTGCCTTATTGTCCTCTACATATGACAGAAGTAAGTCTGACAAAATAACACGGAAACTAGGTTACATGGCCTCGCCTCCCAAACAGCTTAATTTTGTTTGTTCAAAACATGTTACCAACATCGTGCATGCTTATGGATTACACATTCATCATGTATTTAAGAAATTAGAATAGTTTTGTTGAAATCACAGTCACCTTAGTGGAAATATATCAACTGTTTACGTTGTTTTAACCAGTTTCCAATATAATATGATGCTATAATTTAGCAGGTAGTTCAAAATACCAAAAGCATGTAAATATAATGATGGTGAAGTCTAAATTCATCACAACCATGACAAATATTTCGTTGTTTCGTTGATACTATTTCGTTAAATACATTGTCTGCATTAGTTACTCGAAGTGATACAATTTCATACGATGGGAAGGACTTTATCAAGTACTCGAAAATTGAAAAAAAAAAACAAAAAAATACAAAAAAACCACGGCATATTATTTTTTCTGCCGTGATGGATTTCTTAATTTGTATGTAAACATGAACATTTTAATTGCAAAAGCATATCACGATCTGGATCACCAACGTCTAAAGACTTATAAAAACACAGCGGTAACAGGAGGTAAGGAAATAATTGGTTTTACGTACTTACATAACTGACCTAATCACAGTCTCATTGTTTCACGAAGCACTACGGTTACATAAGAAACAAGAAATGAAAAAATTGAATGTATCGCTATGAAATTATTTGACACAATTTGTGGTGTACTTTCCTGGTGCTGGAAGGGACCAGATGTATTTGTTAAGCGTTTAATGTTATTGCGTGTGGTAGAATTCACAACCATCAAACTGAACACATGATCCGCTGGAACTTCATTTTCCACAATACACTTACCGCAGCACTCAATAAGAGCTGCAGATTGAATTAATAAATACTTATACCAACAAAATAAATTTCATAAGGAAATTAAAATCAAACTAAAAGTCTTAAATAACTCCAATTGATTAGATAAAATATACGGTAATGGTGTTAAAATCAGGTTGCAAAAACGTTTATTTGAAGGTACTTGTGATATCTGTTTGAATTTAATTATGATTAAATATTTAGGAAATTTCCAGCAAACACAATAATTGGTACAATAATTAACAGGATAAATATTGGAAGGTTAGACTTTTTTCTTTTCTTTCAAAGCAGGCAGTTTATGTAATATTGAAACGTTATCAAGAATTTCAATAAAACCTAATATTTTCTCCAGACGGATTTTTTAAGAAATAAAAGATTTTAACTTATTTAAACTTATTTTCTTAAATATGATATTTCAGCAGTTCAATATATACAAAATCATGATGTCGTCCTATTCTACTATGGCCAGTCAACATTGTTGTATTGAAATAAGAGACCCATGGATCCCGTATCTGTCATCTGGTTTTTGCTTAGGTAAAATTGCTTCGTCCAAACTAACGGAGAAGAAATTTTAAATATCCAAGCACACATTACGCACTTTATCCCATTGTGCCCCAATGCTCTGTCCCTCAGAGGTCAGCCAAACCATTCATGTTTCAGACCAAATAGAGTCAGAATCCTACCATTCTTACATAAGAAGGCTTTCCATTTTTTTTATTTCATTTTATGTGGCCTGCCACTCATATCCTCGATTGAGAGGCCCACCATTCATACTAAACCCATTAGTCTTCACCCAAGGATGCTTCAGACCAAATTTTGGTCATCTTACAATGTCAGAAAGATTTCGATTAAGAATTTCCCTAAATGAACCCCAACTCAGAGGGCAGAAATGCAGTACTATACTAAACTGATTTCACTACCAAAAAGGATGCTCCAGACCAGATTTGGGAAAATTCCAATTATTCATACAAGAGGAGTAACACCTTGAATGATTTGCCCGATTTTCTCCGATTCCGGCCTACCCCCTGGGGCCTTAGACCTATTGTTTATACAAAATTGATTCACCCTTACCGTTCATCATAAATATGTGAATGTGTCGGAGTGTTTTTTGTTAATATATATTTCAAAATTTTAAAAAGGCATGCTTCAGTGAAACAATGTATACTGTATACTCGTAACTCGTAAATGCAAGAATTTATATCAATCTAGAGATATATATGTGTCTGAATACCAAGTGCCAAAAAACCCGTATAAGTTACTGTATACATTTTATGATATTTCACCGTATAAGTATTAGTATCAATAACAGATTATATAGTCAGCTCCAGCCAAGATCAAAAGATAATTCAAACAGAGTACTCCAGCCTCTCCATCCTAGCAACCACCCCAAGTCCAACTAAAACAATTCCTTACCTCAAAATGATCATGATCAACAAACTTATTATGATAAGAAAACTCCAGATGAAAAAAAATTAAGGTTTGGTAATACTTGGTTAAATGGGATGGTCATACGCAAACAAACTGGGAACATAGAAAATTTTTACCTGCAATGGGTTTCAGAGTTTCGTGTTAGAGAAAGCAATTCAGCAATTTTCAGTAGAATAGAAAAATAACTTGCGGACCACATATAGAAATCGCTGATGACGATGGTTGATTTCTCTCTCTACTTACCACATTTTAATTATTTTAGTGTTTAGGTGTAATTTTGTACCGACAAAAAGACACTTATCTTTCCTTTCTTACTTTACATTTTAGTTGTCTTTGGTAGTCCTAATATATCGGATGTGATTGTGATGATCTTTTTGCATACCCCTGGTCATCTCCGAAAAACCATGGGAAGTCAAACGACTGAATTTTGGATTGCTGTGTGAACCAACAACTCAACTTCATCTTGACAAGGAATATTGGTCTCATACGTCAGCGTCGCATGTGTGAGTCAGCTGAGTCTGTCATCAAAACAACGTCCCATTTAAATTCCTTACATTACTACTCTTTTGCAGGCTATTTGTATATAAGGCATCAGTACTATACATTATATTGGAGGTTCCTTCCAGTACCTATCAATGCAACACATACTCATATAACACAATAGATAGGTGTACCAGTCTATTTTACACATACAATTGACAACAAGCACTTTACTATTTTGTCTCATAAGTAACTCCAAACGTGTTTCTCACAAGACAACGATAATTTTGATGTTCATTTCATTAAGCCCTATCGTCAGTGACTAAAATCTCCTATCTTTCATCTATATTTTAAAATTAGAAGGAAACAGTATAGTCACCATACAATTTCAGATTTATTCCAAATACCTTATGATCATCAATGACAAAAGTGTCTCCGACAAATTTCTTGTGTACAAAATGGCAATGTTAGCTCTAAATTGCCCTAGTGGTCAGAAAATTATCAAAGGTATTTATTTAGTACTTAGTTTACCATGCCGATGTACTTTTATACCACCAAGGTTGGGATACAGTAACGAAAAGAAATTTCTATGTTACATAAAGTTAATCTTCCACTGATTCAGTTTTTCTTCAATTTTATTTTAGGACAAACGATGTACCCAAATTTAATCAACTTTCCAATTCCAAAATTCAAAATATATAACCACTCCTTTACAGAAACGTTAGCAAATGATCAGACCTTCCATCTCAGTCCAAAGAAAATTGTTCAGAAAGCTCAAAAGATTGTATTTAAAGCTCTTTCACCATCATAGTGTTAGCATCAGCTCAAAATCACAGTCTCAACATCACAACGTCAGCGTTACCTCAAGATCACAGTCTCAGTATCACCATCTTCACAACGACAGCATCATCTCAACATTACAACGTCAGCGTCACCTTAACATCACAGTCTCAACATCACGCCATTATCACAGTGGCAGCATCACGTTCTCACAATGTCAACATCACCTCAACATCATCAAGTTAGTATCACCTTAACTAATTTCCCTTTTTATCGACACAAAAAATACTTTTTGGTGTTAATTCTTATATAGAATATTTTTTTTACTTGCGTCCTTTACATTAATAAGCTTAATGTTAAAATCACATTAAACGATGAAAGATATATACCTGTTGAAAAGTTTGGAACTTCAAGTAAAATAGACGAAACAACGGCTAATATGAGGAAGTTTACACCGTATACTCTTGTAAATATTAAGGAGAAAAAGAAATGTATTAAGGAGGGGTACTTAATCATAAACACCAAGTTGTTAATCTTGGTAGTTCTAAGTGAATAATGCATGTAGAATTCTCTAAACAGAACGTGGTTAACCTGGAAAACGAAATCAACGAATACAACACAAAGAAATATGATATACCCTCCGATTCCCTCCTTCTATAAATTGTACCTGTGAGATACTACTTTATAACGATATCTCACCTTCGCAACGGTTCGCTGTCAGGATTTAAAAAAAATATTTGAAGTAGTACTTACGTCAACTGAAAATACTAGCAACATCATCTAGATATTCTTAAAC